AAATTTTTAATAATTTCAAAGAAGCTTTTTAAAATTATTAAAAATTTTATATTACATTAAATTGTAGGTTTAATGTAATACAATGTTAAATAATAAATATTAATTATCTGGATTTAAGAGACCAACAATTATACAGTAATTTATTGCGATAACTTACCAGTTATAGGCTTTCCTCCGGTATTGATAGGTGGATTCCATGCCAGACTGCAACTATTAGGAGTGTAACCAAGAATTTCAGGTTGATTTGGTGCATCCGGTGGATCATACGGACTCTTGGCGATTACGGGTTTGCCCTCCAAGGGTTCTGATACACCGTACATGTTCTCAGCACGGACTCTAAAGACATACTTTTTGCCTTCAGTCAACCCCTTCGCCGTAAAGTTCGTCCTGGGAACGTATCCCGGCACTTGTCGCCAATTGTCAGAATCATAATCAGAAACTTCGACAATGTAGTTCGTGATATCAGATCCGCCATTGTCCGCCGGTGGGTTCCAGGACAGGCCGATGGATTCTTGCGTCGTGCCAGTGTATTGCAAAGGACCCTGAGGCGGTCCAGGTTTATCCACGACTATCACTTCGATGTCAGCTGAATCTTTTCCATGCTCATTCGTCGCCGTCACGGTATACATGCCACCGTCATCTCGCACGGATTTTTCGATCAGAAGTTGTGTTCGATCGCTCTTAGTCTCAGTCTAAGAATATAATAAAAATAAAAAAATGTACATGCACAGTAAAGAGTAAAGACTATTATAAACTAAGAAATAAAAACTAAGATATGAATTGAAAGAAACTCTACAAGACAAGGAATAAAATCTAAAATTTATGTTCCATAAATATAAAAAAAAATTGTAAAAGAAAATATTTATAAAAATTTTTTTAATTAATAAAAGCATTTAATTTATAATTATTATTCACACACATAATTATTAATAAGTTGTCACATAATTTGATTCAATTAAATTCCAGTCAAATTAATTTAATAAAAAATTATTTCTTATTATCTTTATTGCAATTCTAAAATTAAATTGAAAAATAAACCTACAGATAGGCGAAGAGTTTCCATGAGCGATCTTCCATCCTTGGTCCATTCGATCTTTGGCGTGGGCGCGCCGGACAATGGTATGTTGACATTGATTGGTTCTCCAGCGCGGACCTTGATCTTACGTCCAATTAGAGCATCTAGATAAAGTTTCGGTTTCTCCTTCATAGGTTTAGCCGTGAACACGGATGAAGTCTCGCTCGCTTTTCCGGCGCCTGCGGCATTTATAGCCGATACGCGATATTCATATTGATGACCCTCGGTCACATGATCATCGTAATATTCAGGATATCTGACAGGTTCTTTGTTCTGCTTTATCCAGCGACCTGTAGCACGATCACGACGCTCCACATCGTAACCAATGATCTTGGAGCCGCCGTTGCTAATAGGTGGAGTCCATTTGATCTTGATGTGATCTTTATCGGCGTCCACGCATTCTGGCTTGCCGGGTTGTCCAGGAACAACTAAGCAATTAATTGAATATAACAATATGTTAATAAAGTAAGAAAACAATAAAAAGTAAACGTTTGAAAGAATTTAGATAAATTTCCATAAATTTATGAACTCGGAGAATTCAATATAAAGATATTAATTTGAAATTATTCATATTAAACAAATGAGCAATAATTTTAAGTACTTAAGGATCGATTCTAAAAATCATACTTAAATATATAATTAATGATCTTATAATAGTTTTAGAATTGTTTCAATTGAAGTAATTATAATTTAAAACTAATAGAATTAATATTAATAGTACTATTCTATTAATAGTACTTACCGAATTGATTTTTGGCAACAACAGATCGATCGGTGGTCAATGGTTCAGAACGACCCTGAAGATTTTCTGCAGACACGCGAAATTCGTAAGTAGTTCCTTCTAGCAATCTTGGCACAGTAGCATGATTATACTTGGGATTGACATGTGTAACTGCAGGCACCCAACCACCACCATGCGTGAGATCGCGCTTTTCAATGACGTATCCACTGCAAAATATAGAACAAACATGTATATGAAATTATTTTGTGTACTATTAGTGCTATTCTTTTTTTATATGTATATATTGTATAACACAAATTAACATAAAACTTATAATTTTAATGATGATTTCATTATAGAATTATAATTTAATAAATATAGAAAGAGAGAGGGGGGGGGGGAGAGAGAGAGAGAGAGAGAGATAGATAGAGAAAAGAGAGGAGAATTAACAAGGCTAGAAAATTTGATCATACGAAAAAGCTGAACAACTATTTGAATATTTCATCTAGGATTTTTTCTATATTATTTTTAAAGAAAAGTTTGTAAATTCAAAATATATATCAAATAAAGTTCATTTCATAAATAATGTTGAAATATTTAAAAATTTACTTACGTAAGTTCGCTGCCTCCATTATCCTTGGGTGGCTTCCACGAGAGCGTGACGGATTGATTGGTGATTTCTTCATATTGCAAAGGACCTTCCGGCGGTCCAGGTTTATCTAAGACGGTCACTTGGAAGCTGCCTTCATCTATGCCGCTGCTATTCTTTAGCAACAAATGGTATAATCCTGAGTCAGACCTTTTAGCATTGACGATATGCACAATTGTATGATAGCCAATCGATGTGATCGTCGTTCTATCATTGGAAGTCAATTCATTGCTTCCTACACTCCAACTTGCTTCCGGCGTCGGTTCGCCGATGAAGTCGATATCCACATGAAAAATAAGTCCAGCCTTGATACGAACGTCCTGTAAGGGCGTTTTGATTTTCGGAGCCACTACACAAATTGAAGAAAGTTAAATGTAATGTATAATGTCCAATGTAAATAAATTCACAATATATTAAAGATTTAGAATATAAAAAATCATTATGCTATATAAAATAATAATTTATAAATCTATAAAATTAAAAAATATTATTTATTACTGTTATTTAAATCTATACTGTTTAATCAAATAGTCACTTTTTAAATTAATTATATGAAAATTCACAACTTACGAAAACGAGGTTTGGCAGTGACGAGATCGCTAGGTTCCGATGGTTCAGATTGACCGGCGGCATTGACAGCGATCACACGGAATTCATAATCTTGACCTTCTGTCAGATCTGGAACAGTCGTACTGTTTTGACCAGCCGGTACGTGTACTGCATTCACCCAATAAGGGCTGCCCTTCTCTTTCTTCTGAACAATATAGCCTGTGATCGGTGATCCACCGTCATTCTTTGGCACCGGCCATTGTAAATCTACATGGTCTTTGTCCCAGTCCATGATTTGCGGTTTGCCAGGCGCGTCCGGTTCATCTGAAAATTGCAGACGCATTTATTAATAACATTATTTTTTCAATGTACTTTTAATTCTAAGATTTTATGATATGAGCGATTTCAATTGTAAAACTCTTTTGTCACTTTTATTTAATTTTGAAATATCTTTTTTTTTTCAAATTACTCACCAAATTCGTTCTTCGCGATGATGCTTTTCGTGGTCTCGAGCGGATCGGATTCTCCGATATTATTAACAGCTTTAACACGGAATAAATATTCTTTGCGATGAATCAGACGGTTGACCTCATGGCTCAACACCATGCTCATACCGGCGTCAGACCAAGTTCCACGAGACAAGTCCATCTTCTCAATAACATAGTGCAAAATGGAACTTCCGCCATCATCAAGAGGATGTCCCCACGTTAAGTGGCAACCTTCTTTGGTGACATTGCTGACATCCAAAGGTTTCTCTGGCGGTGCCGGTCTGTCGAGAACAGTGACTCTCGCGCTGGCACTAAAAATTTATCATAGTTTGTTGAACTAACAATCATCAAAATTAAATTGTATTATAAAAAAAATTTTGTTAAAAAAATTTCTTCAAATTAATTTTCAATATTAAAATCTTGTTCACATTGTCTTATTATTTGTTTTAAATAAATGTTTTAAAATATCATTTTTAAATAAATGTATAAAATATTTGACGTAAATTAATTTGATTAAGAGATTTTTTATTATTCAAATTATAATTATATTAAAGAATAACTATAATTTTTTGATTTGTCAAGTACCTGAAACTACCATGTTCGTTCTCCAAAGTTAGAGTATAACGTCCAGTATCACTACGGACAGAGAATGGAATCTCGAAGGAAGTTTCAGTGTTAGTAGTGTACATCTCATGACGAGCATCGGCTACAATCTGTACACCATCGCGATTCCACGTTGCCTTCGGTTTAGGTGACGCCACAATAGGAATGTTGTAACTGATTTTCTGACCGGCGCGAACCACCAAATCGTGCAGCAAATGTGTGTCGAACGAAGGAGCAACTACAATTAAAGAAAAAATTATGAAGGCAATATCATTAGCAGAGAGAAAATATCTCTAATTATTAAAAAAAAACAAATTATAAAAAATTATTACTTCTCAGAAAAAAATCTTTATGAGAGAAAAATATGCATTTTAAAAAAAGATCTTGCTAATACGAAAAAATATTTCATATATTTTTATAATAAAACTTTTTAAAATAATTTACTTAATTTCGACAAACATTTAAACTTACTGAAACGAGGCTTAGCAACAATTGGCGCCGATGCTTCGGATGGTTCACCAGGTCCGCCCTTGTTCACAGCGATGACTCTGAACTCGTATTCTTGACCCTCGGTCAGATCAGGTACTCTGCCGCTAGTCTGGTTTCCGGGTATCTCAGCAGCCTTTTCCCATTGTCCAAAACGAGGTCGTTTTTCGATAATATAGCTGGTTATGGGCGATCCGCCGTCTTTCTTAGGTGGTGTCCATTCCAGATCTACATGATCTTTATCCCAGTCGGTGGCGACCGGCGTACCAGGTTTGTCTGGCTTAGCAAACGGATCCTTGGCAGTGATAGTGTCCATTCCCGTCAATGGCTGAGACTCGCCTTGCTTATTGACCGCTCGAACACGGAACTGATAGTCGTGTCCCTCAATCAGGTGGCCCACATGCGCTGAAGTGGTGTTAGCCTCAGCCACAGGCACCCAGCGCATATTTTCCATATCCATTTTCTCAACCTGATAATATTGGATCTCAGAACCGCCGTCATCCTTGGGTGGCCGCCACTTCAAAGTGCAGCCATTTTTAGTGACGTTGTCGATCTTCAATGGACCTTCTGGTGGCAAAGGTACATCCAGCACGTTCACCGTTAATGTAGCAGAATCTTTGCCGTTCACATTCTTGGCCACAAGCGTATAGATGCCGGAATCGGAACGTTTCGCCTCCATCACGCGTACTTTAGTGTTGTAATCCTCATTGATGATCTTGATACGATCACTTGCCATCACTACGTTATCTTTTAGCGACCACTCCTTGCTTGGTGGTGGCTCGCCAGTTACCGGCACATCGAAGTCGAAGAAACTGCCAGCACGCACTTTCACGTCTAACATGTACTTCCTGTCAATTTTCGGTGGGACTGAACACAAAATATATAATATAATTAATTATATGTTATTAACCTTAGAAAGTCAGACTTATTTTTAGTTATTTTCCCGGCCTATATAACTAGAGTATGTGAAATCCTGTAATTTTGTCACGCTATATCTCTGGATTGAATACGTATTTTTTAGTTCAAAATGTGTGAAATTTATACTTTGAAGGCAGACAAAACAGAGAAATGGATCAAATAAATAATATTTTATCTTCAATTAATTAGAATGCTTCAAAGAAATTTTATTGGAAAAATTCACAAAAATGACTATTTTGGATAAAAAAATTCTCATATTTTTAATGTTCGAGCAAAAAACCATAGGATTTGTTTAACCCTTTGGACTAACAAAAAAAATAGTATGATATGAATCGCTCAAAAAAGTATAATTATTTAAACTATCGAAAATCGACATTTTTGAAGAATCTACATATTTTAAATTTACAATTAATAAATAAAATTTTATTATTTGAACAATATAAAAGAGTAATAATATAAGTACATAAAGGATTGTACATATATAAATATTATTATAGTATGTATAATTAGTTTATTAGGATTTAGTTTAGAGAATAATGCAACTCAAAGCAATAAATCCGCCTCGGCCGAGCGATCTCTGAAAACTGACAGAAATTATAAAATTTCTACTATTTATTACATTGAAATATAATTCTTTTCTACATTTTCATGTACTTACTTTTATACTATCCGAAATTTAGTAAAAGTATATTTAATAAAAAATAAAGGGATACTTAGAATACCAAAAATTACAAACTAATCACATATGGATCCCAAGTACTCTTTTTGAACTTTCGTGCATTCTCACAATGAGAATAACGCAAAAAAATATCCTTGCAGACTTATCATATCTATAGACAATTAAAGTCTTTTTCAGCCTTAATCCAGGTCTTCAAATTATAAAAAAGTTACAGCAATGTAAAAAAACCGCATAGGATACATTGTATCCATGTTCTTCCTAAGGTTAAATTGTAAATGCAACACCTACCAAATATTTTTAATCTCAGTTTTTTGTTTCTTAAACTTCTAAGTTATAAAAATATTATTGTAAAATAATTCAATTCTCTTAAATGTAGGTACACAAAATTTGATAAATGCTTTGCAAATGCTTACGATTCTTCGGTCGCGCTATATGGGATTTGGACGCCTCCGAAGCTTCGCCAGGACCAGCCTTGTTGACAGCTCTTACACGGAATTCGTATGGAGTTCCCTCGACTAGATCGTCGACTCTTCCACGATTCGTGTCGCCATCAATTTCTGCGCATTTCTCCCAGGTCGGACTGTATTTGTCGCGTTTCTCTATGATATAACCGGTGATTGGTGATCCACCATCTTCCTCAGGACGACTCCATTGAAGCTCAACGAAGTCCCTATCATAATCAATCACCTCTGGCGTACCCGGTTTTCCTGGTTCATCTACAAAAAATAAAATAATATAAAAAATGTGAAAACATAATATTGACATTTTGTTGCAAATATTAAGGAATATAATAAATTACGAATAATTATAATCATTATATTGGAAATATATGACGCACTCAAATTTTTACTCATAAATACATAAAATTATTATTTCAATAAAAACATGTTTGTCTTACCGAAAGGATTCTTCGCCTCAATGCCCTGCATGGCGGTGAGAGGCTCAGATTTACCCTGCTTGTTAACTGCTCGCACTCTGAATTTGTATTTATGCCCTGGCGTCAAGCCTTCCACTTGCAAGTTCGTTTCCGGTCCATCAGTCTCTCCGGCCGGCACCCAACGACCTGTGGCCTCGTCCATTTTTTCCACGACATATTTCTCAACTGGCTGCCCACCATCATCTTCAGGCGGTTTCCACGTGAGTTTGCAGCCTTCGGCGTGCACATCAGATGCGCGAAGTGGACCTTGAGGTGGACTCGGCTTATCCAGCACAGTTACTTTGACGAATGCCTCATCTCGGCCATTAATATTTTCAGCAGTGATAGTGTATTTGCCGGATTCCGCACGCGTAGCCATCCGCACGTTCAAACTAGTGTTGTAATCCACGTGCTTGACTTTAACACGCTCAGACGGTCGGACCTCCTTACCATTTAGCATCCATTTGGTAGTTGGCGGTGGCTCGCCCGTTACTTTACAATCGAAGTTGAAGTTTTGGCCGGCCTTGATCTTCACTTCAATTAAGTTGGTACGATCAATCCTGGGCGCTAGATTGCGTGGTTTGGCTATGATAGTCGGCGTGGCGTCCGACGGTTCACCAGGTCCAGCTTTGTTCACGGCACGCACGCGGAACTCGTATGGTTGACCTTCGATAAGATCTGGTACTGTAGCGAATGTTTCATCTGCAGGCACCTCCAGTGTCTTCTCCCATTCGCCGTACTTGTCTTTCTTTTCAATTACGTAACCAGTGATTGGCGAACCGCCATCATTCTCCGGCGGAGTCCATTTCAAATCGACGTGATCCTTATCCCAATCAGTGGCTCGGAGATCACCCGGTTTGCCTGGTTCGTCTGAACATAGAAACAAAAATTTAATAAAAATTCTGTCAGATTAAAAATAATATTTGTCTTTAAATTATGTTTTGTAATTTATATTTACACGATGTTTTATATAACTTTAATACATATTTGATTAACGTACCAAATGGATTTTTGGCTACTATCGTCTGCTCCGCTTCCAAAGGTTTTGATTCGCCCTCGGCATTGACAGCGGCCACCCGGAAGAGATACTCCTTGCCAGGTGTTAAACCTGTCACCTCGAGAGCTATAATAAATAATTCATTTGACATAAATCAATAATAAAATCAATATTATAAAATAAATTATGTATGTGTTTTAAAATAGCGAATTTGTAGGAAAACTTTATTAATGAAAAATGGAAGAAGAAATTTGAAGCGTTTTATAAAATAAAAAATAATAGAAACAGGAATTATTACGCATCGTTTAAGTGAAGATTTAATTTGGAATTGTGTATTATGTCAGTTTTATTTTTTTCAATTAATCAATCCGGCGACTTACTCGGTTCGGTAGAACGTCCGCAAGGTACCCAACATCCGGTCTCCGGGTCCATTTTATCCACTTGGTAATACTCGATGGGCGTGCCGCCGTCGTCTTTAGGTCTCTTCCACTTCAACTTGCATCCTTCCTTGTGTACATCCGACACCTGAAGCGGTCCCTCAGGCGGCGTAGGTTTGTCCGTCACCGTCACCTGCACCGTCACCGAGTCTTTGCCCGATGAATTGCTGGCAGTAACAGTGTAATCACCACTGTCGTCCCGCGATACCGGACGTATGCTAAATTTGGTATTGTAGTCGATGTTGTCGATCTGCACCTTGCGATCGGAATGAAGTGGTATTGCGCCGTAACGCCACTCGATATGTGGTGGTGGTTCGCCGATCACATTGGCATCGAATTTCAGCATCGAGCCAGCGGACAGGGTAACGTCCCTCAAATTGCGCCTGTCAATCTTCGGGGCCACTGTGACGAATAATTAGATGCCGATATCAGATTTAGACAAGCACACGATTCATTGAAATTATTTTTAGAATATGCATACAAAATTATTTTTAGAATATGCGTACATTTTGTGGCAAAGATACAAGAATTATTATTCTCTCAAGTAGAACAACAAATCTATAATAAAATGATGTCAAAATGATTCCAAAATAATCATTAAAAGTCATTTTTCAATCATTTCCAATTTATTTTAATATTATTTTGACGTTATATTATCGTGATATATATTTGTTCTGCTTAAGCTGCTATATATATCGATTGCTTATATAATTAAGATTTTAAATGCATATTACTTATTAATAAGATAATATAGATAATAAGATAATATTCGATATAATTCGTACATAAAACTTATTTAAAGGAAAATTTTAATCAAATCAATTATAAATCATTGTACCAGCAAGAAAAATTTATAAAAGTTGAAATATCATAAATACTTACAGAAACGCGGCTTAGCAGTAAACGTCTTGCTTGCTTCACCAGGCTCTGACTGACCAGCCTTGTTTACGGCAATCACGCGGAATTGATAATCATTGCCTTCTATTAGACCATGTACCAAAGCTTTGGTGACCGGTGTCCCGGTTTCCAAAGCCTTCTCCCACATAGTGCTGTATTTATCTTTCTTCTCAATGATGTAGCCCGTGATAGGCGATCCACCATCGCTGACAGGTTCTTTCCAGGCAAGTTCAACCTGATTAGCTGTCCAATCGACCGGTTCCGGTGCTCCAGGTGCAGTTGGTACAGCTATAAAAATTAATTATTATAATAAAATTAGCAATTAATATTAGTTTAAAAAAAATACTGAGCTATCAGTAAGATACTGTTTTTATATAATTCATTATGAAAAGAGGAAATAAGAATTAAAAGCAAGAAAAATGCTACAAAATATTAAGTAAATTAATTTCAAAATAACAATTTATACTTCTGTGATAATATATAAAAGCGTTAACGATCCAAACTGTTTTATAACTGTTGTATACTTATCAAAGATTATTAAAAGATACACACACACACACACACACACACACACACACAAAATACTATTTATTACTTTCGATAAATTTTATAATATTCCACTTACTGAACGGATCTTTCGCTACGATGGAGCTAAAGGTTTCCAATGGTTCAGACTCTCCTTCTTTATTAAGTGCTTTGACTCGGAACTTGTACTCATGTCCCGGTATAAGCCCTTCGACCTTCATCTCGGGCCCAGTAGTTTTACCAACTGGTAACCAGACACCGGTCTCTGGATCAAACTTCTCCACAAGATAGCCTTCAAGTGGTTCTCCACCGTCATCCTTAGGTTTCTTCCATTTAAGCGTACATCCTTCTTTGTGCACGTCAGATACCTCCAATGGTCCTTCTGGTTTGCCAGGCTTGGCTGATAAACAAACAAAATTTAGATTAAATTGTTATATAAGTAAAAACATAAGATTACACACGGAGAATTTTTATTACAGATTATTGCACATTAAGTACTTTTATTTTTAATATTTGACAAAGAGAAAAACAATAAATAAAACAGTTTATTCATTATAGACCGATAATTATTTTAAGTATCTATAATAAATAAGAAGGGTTATTAGCTAAATGATATCATTTAATGTTCAGAATATAAAAACAATCACTATTTTAATAAATAATATAGACGTTTCGACATCGGGTCACTATCAATGTTAATCAAATTTTAAAAACAGCAGTTATTCGTACAATATTTCAAGTAAAACATAAAATCTAAAAAAATACTTAAAAATTATTATCTTATATCCATTAAATCCATGTATTAGAACGTTCTGACAGGTAAAAGTGGTTCATCTATGGTTACATAGTATAATGTAATAGAAAATATATAATACAAAAAATAATATAATAATATAATAATTATTTTCTTTAATTATAAAACTTGCAAAATATTAATTGTAAAAATTACTCACAGACAACGGTGACTTCGACTTCGGCGGTATCGGATCCATGCTGATTGACTGCTGTGATTTTATAAGTGCCACTATCCTTACGTTCGGGCTTATCGTTGAAGAATTTGCTATTGTAAGGCACATTTTGTATTCTGCGATGTGTGGTTTGCTGGATACTCTTATTGTTGATTACCCATGTAACGTCTGGCGGTGGTTCTCCGATAATTTTGACGTCAAAGTGGAATGCTTCGTTTTCGCGCACAGTTATATCGCGCAGATTACGTCTGTCAATCTTCGGCGGGACTGAACAGTCAAAAGAAATAACATCATAATTAATAAATCTATACCTATCCATTAAGATTTTTTGAAAATTTCACAAAAATTTTTTCAACAAAAATTTTTATATTAAAAAATTCTTTTAAATCTGTGATTCAAAATTTTTTATTGAAAAGAATATATTTTAAAGTTCTAAAGATTATTTAACGAAAGAGACAAATAATTAAAATATCTTTAATTATCTGAACTCACGTCTTCGACTTTTGGCGGTAATCGGTTTGCTAGCATCGGATGGTTCACCGAGACCAGCAGCATTAATGGCCTTGACTCTGAATTCATATTCGACACCTTCGTCGAGATTGTCGACGCGGCCCTTGCAATCCGGCCCAGTCTCGCATGCTTTGATCCACTTGGGTGCGCCCTTCTCCCGCTTCTCGATCACGTATCCGGTGATTGGAGATCCGCCGTCTTTTAACGGTGGAGTCCATCGCAGATCCACGTGATCCTTGTCCCAGTCGGTCGCTTCCGGACGTCCTGGTGCACCAGGTTCATCTGTGATATAAATAAAATTATTATTACTTATCTAAACTGAGAAATGTAAGAAAAAAAATTTCAAGGATTAATTTCGAAAAGTATAATAATTGATCACAATTTGGTCTCATTGAACGTGATGTTACTCTTCACAAACGTCCCCATAGATGTTGTTTTGGAGTAAAAAATGGAACTACATATAAAAATGTAACTTTTCGAAAACAGATTTTCTGACAGAAGTTCAATTCGTCTTAAATTCCATATATTTTACATTGTCGACAATGTCATTTATAAACAATCCTTTGGCACATCCATGGTTCTCTCTTGTCATTCATCATTGCGGACAGTGCTGCAAAGTTTAGAAAATACCGCGTTGTGTTTATGTATAATTAATGATTAGTTTTTTTATCGATATGTTGATGACATATGCACGACAATCTCATCATCTGATATAGTAACAATATTAGAACACTTCAATTCATTCCATCCACGACTCCAATTCACTTTGGAAAACGGAGAAGCATCACTAAACTTTTTGGATATAACTATGAAAAAAGAAATCCTTGACTTTCGACTGGTATCACAAATCAAGTTACTCAGGTAGATAGGTACCTGAATTTTTTATCTAACCACCCGATCTCCCCGAAAAGAGATACCATCATAAGCTTAGTCGATAAAGCATTATTATTATCTGATGCTGAAAACCATACGAAGAATTTAATTGTAATTAATACTCTACTACTCGAGAATGACTATCCGCTCGATTTCGTTTGTAATACCATTAAGAAGAGAATTCACAGTCTCATAAAACAAAAAATAGAAACGCGGGTTCGCTCAAATAATGAGATCGAACCTAATAGAACTTCGTGGTTCATAGTTCCATTTATACCTTCTATTACCGAGAAATTTAAACAATTTAAGAAAGACTCAAATGGATTTTATAGTATCAATAAATCACAGAAATTTATCAAAGTTCAAAAGATCCTCGATTCCACTCTACCAAGACCAATGTAGTTTAGGTCAATTGCTTTGACTGCGGTGCTATATATGTGGGACAAACAGGTAGGCAATTAAAAACGAGAATTGCTGAACATCGGTGGAATATCTCTACTCGCTCCGTGAACAGAACACAGGTGGCAGCAGAAACACGAATTTTATTGGGATAACATCATAATTCTAGATAAAGAACCATGCTATAACAAACGCCTAATCTCGGAAATATTAAAAAACAGAAAAACAACCTCAACTTATAGACAGATACAAAGGGACTTCACAAAGCATACATACCGATAATAAATAAATTATGACTTTGCAGCTCTAAGGTCATGTTTTATACATTGAAAGATATCTGTCAGTCAAACATATCAAACTGTCACAACAGTCACATTATATAAATTTATATATCTTTAATTTATAACTTTTTGACTAGTAATTTTATATATTTGTAACAATTTTGATCTTTAACTTGATGACTAATAGTTTTAATAATTTCACATATATTTATTGACCTCATAATCATAGTGATTGATATAAGCAATTTGACACGCATCTTATCTATCATATGTTGAAAGAATGTAAGACCATACCAATGAATTCTTCAATAAAGTAATGAAATTGCTTGTTGATCTGTACTTAAAAGATTATAACTTATAAATAATCGTGAAAATTCTCTAAATAGTCCCAATAGGTCGTTCAATCGATTGCGAGCAATTTCATTTTCACCCTCCATCTATAGTGTTACATCAGATACCACATAAGATACCGGTTACATATATTTATAAGAATATTTCAATGCGTCTTTTATACCATTTAATGACTTAATAATGACTATTCAAAATATTCTGTCTTTTTCACTTTTTTGTCTTTTCACGTTTTTGCTTTGCAAATTTTGTAACATCTGATGATGACACAATTATGATGCCGAAACATGTCATGTAATATAATGTAACGTTAAGTTTTTTAAATTAAATTTATATTTCATATCAATTTATCAGAATGTTAAAACTTTAAACGTTTATTACACATATTTATATTCAAATTTGACTCTAATTTGTCCTTCTATATTCTTAATATTTTTATTAATAATTGTTAAAAGTTTTATTAATTAAAAGATTTTTTAATTGCTTTACATTTAAATAATGGAGAACAAGAAAATCTTTGTGATATTCGTCGTATTTTAATATAAAACGTTTAAAGTTAAATAAAAAGATAGATTTAAAAAATTAGAAATCTCACCAAATGGATTCTTGGCAACGATTCCATGCTCGGTCTCTAATGGTTCGGATTCACCTTCCGCGTTTACAGCCGCAACTCGAAACTTGTATTCCTGTCCGGGCACCAAGTTCTCTACCTCCATTGTGGGTTCCTTAGTACGTGCGACAGGTATCCATCTACCGGTTTCTGTATCCATCTTCTCGACCACATAGTGATCCAAAGGTACACCACCATCATCCGCTGGTGGATTCCACTTGAGAGTACAGCCCTCTTTATGTACGTCGGAAACCTTGAGTGGTCCTTCAGGTTTGCTAGGTTTGTCCAATACCAAGATCTCGATGGACGCCTCATCTTTGCCGGAACTATTCTCCGCCTTCAAAGTCAACGTGCCACAGTGCGCCCTAGTCGCCGATGAGACTACGAACTTGGTCTTGTAATCCTCCGTTTCAATGGTCAAGACGTTGCCGGATTCCTGCTTAGCCTTGTTCAGGAACCATGTCTTGCTTGGCGGTGGTTCACCCGTAACTTTGACATCCAGCCGAATGACACTACCGGCCTTGATTGTAATATCCTTCAGATTTGTGCGATCGATCTTGGGCGCGGCGTAGCGATCCTTGGCGATCAGGGTTTCGCTGGGTTCGCTGGGCTTGCTCTGGCCACCTTTGTTCACGGCCTTAACTCGGAATTGATATTTTTGACCTTCCACAAGATCTGGTACTTTGGCTTCGGTTTTGTTACCCGGAACTTCCGCGGCTTTCTGCCATTTGCCATATTGATCTTTCTTTTCAATGATATATTTTTCAATTGGTGCACCGCCGTCCTTCTTCGGGGCTTTCCATTTCAAGTCAACATGATTCTTCGACCAGTCCTTCAATTCGGGTTTGCCAGGTGCATCGGGTTCAGCTGTAATTAGAAGTAAATGTTTGACAAATATTTTATTTTAAGTATATTTTTTTAAGATGTTATAATATAATTAAAGGAATTAAAAAAAATTAATTATAAGGAGTAATAAAAATAAAATGTTTACAATAAGGATTTTTGGCAGTTGTCGGTATGGACGTTTCTAGAGGTTCGGATTCGCCCTCGGAGTTTACAGCTTTGACACGGAATTGATAATCCTTGCCCTCGTTTAATCCAGACACGTCTGCTTCTGGAGTTTTGCTAGTACCGCATGGTACCCAACGTCCAGTGTCCACATCCATTCTTTCGACAACATAATGATCAACCGGTTCGCCACCGTCATCATCGGGTTTGTTCCATTTTAGCTTACAACCTTCGGCTGTCACATCGGACACTTCAAGCGGTCCTTTTGGTTTGCCAGGCTTACTTAGAACCTGATAAACATTAAATAAACAATCAATTATATTTAACAAAGGATGCTTTAACAAATAATTCCATATTCTTAATGGAATTTAATTTATATAATTAAAATTGCAAAGCAGTTGTCATACAAACCTGAAGCTCGACGTCGACCTGATCAGTGCCACTGTCATTCTTGGCAATAACGGTGTATGTGCCGGTATCCGAACGCTGAAGCTTATTAAGGATAAACATAGTATGATAATCCTCGTTCTCAATCTTGAGTCGATCCATGCTCTTCAGCACCTTATCCTTGAGTTTCCACGTAACAATTGGTGGCGGCTCACCCTTGATGTCAGCCTCAAGTCGCAGCATCTGGCCAATTCGCATGATTTTCTTGTGGAGATTTTTACGATCAATGTGCGGTGCCACTAAGAACAGATAGTAAAATTAGATAATTATTATTATACTACGAGAAATAAATGTTTTATCTAACAATAAAACAATAAAGTTTTATATATATATATATATACACGAATCGCTTACAGAATCGAGGTTTAGCCACGACGCTTTTTGAAGTATCACTGGGCTCGCCAGGTCCAGCTTTATTGACTGCCACGATCCTAAACTCATATTCATGACCTTCCTGGATACCGTCAGTCACTTTAGCAGCAGTTCGGTCTCCTGAAACCTTAGCAACATCCACCCATTGTCTGCCTTCTTTGTCTCGCATCTGCACAATGTACTTCTCGATTGGCGCACCACCATCATCTTTGGGAGGAGTCCATTCGAGATCGACGAAATCTTTGTCCCAGTTCTTGAGTTCAGGTCGACCAGGTTTACCCGGTTCATCTAAAATCGAAAGTAATTAAGTTTTTAAGTTTTAAACTAAAATTTTCCAGAGTTCGAATACATACCGAATGGATTTTTAGCTATGATGGACTTGTCAGCTTCCAAATCATCAGATTCTCCTTCTCTATTGACAGCTTTCACGCGGAATTTATATGGTTTACCTTCCTGCAATCCTGTAATGGTTGCTTCAGGTTCGGTACTACGACCACAAGGTACCCATTGTCCTGTAAGAGGATCCAGCTTCTCGATCTCATAGTATTCGACCGGTGCACCACCATCATCTTCGGGTTTGTCCCATTTGAGTTTGCAGCCATGTTTGTTAACATCGCTCACTTCCAAAGGACCCTGAATTATAAACAAGATATTTAATCAGATTCAGATCAAGACAAAAATTTATAAGCTAGACAATAATTAGAATAATTAAAATAATTACAATTAATAATAAATATTACAATTAATAATGAATAATTATTAATGATATTGATAATAATATAATGTAAAATTCTTACTTTTGGCTTGCTGGGCTTGCCAAGAACAGTGATTTCTACTTCAGCAGTATCCTCGCCGACTTCGTTCTTCGCATTGATCACGTATTTGCCAGTGTGTGCGCGTTTAGTTTTTAGTATAAAGAATTTCGTGTTGTAATCAACATTGTCGATTCGTATCGTGTCATCCGATACGAGTTCCTTATCTTTGAAAGTCCAAGTTACTTTTGGCGGCGGCTCGCCAATTATGTTTACATCCAGACTTACAGTAAGGCCAACTTTTACCGTTATGGGTTGCAGATTCGTGCGATCAATATACGGTTTCACTGCAAAATAAAAATAAAAAAATCAGATATCGATAAATTTATATAAATTTATATAAATTTTTGTATAAATAGATTTAAAAAATTGAATTTAAATAAATCTTAATATAATAAATAATTTTACATGAAATATTATGTATATAATTATTTTTTTAATAATGCAATATACGATTATATTTTCAACTTTTTTGATAAAGGATTAATTTTTAACTTATAAAAATGACGCAATACTTACGCCAACGAGCTTTAGCAGTGTGCGGATTGGTAGCCTCGCTAGGTTCACCAGGTCCAGCTTTATTAACGGCGCGTATTCTGAATTGATACTGATTACCTTCTTCTAAACGTGGAACTGTGCCAGTACATACGGGCCCTTGCACTTCAGCAGCCTTGACGAAATTAGTACCGAATTTATCCTTCATTTCGATGATATATCCAGTAATTGGTGCACCGCCGTCTCTTATTGGTGGTTCCCACTTAAGCTTTACCATATTCTCTGACCAATCGACAATCTCTGGAAGTCCAGGCGCCGCTGGAGCATCTAAAATATTTCATGAAGTATGCTGTAAGTTTTTTACTTGTTCTCTTTTAATAATTAAAACAATTATAAAATAAACGATATAACTAAATAAATAGATTTTTAAATCTTCTTTGTTTGATATTGCATCGTAATATAACGTTTGTTTATTTACTATCAGAAAAAGAAACAAGCATATTATTCATAATTATTAAAATAATATTTGCTATAAATATCTGTAACAAATTATAAAATTAGTTAGTATTTATAAATTCTTAATTACTATAATTTTAATTACTATAATTTAATTACTATAATTTTAAAGTAAGAAAAATATCTATAGCTTATGTATGTATTTAAAATTACTTAATTTTAAACGGTATAAGTTTATCGAGCTCTCAATGGTAAAAATAATATTACAATACAACCAGGCAATTAAGAGCTTACACAGTTATTATAAATGTGCATTGACATTAATCTTTATTCTTCATTTTTACATATAATTTCGTTATTTCGGCTATTTTTTTTCAGCCCTCTTTAAGGTATTATATCCACCAATAAATATGTAATTACATGCTATAATTACGAATGTAGGTGCAATCTTCAAACTTCAAGTAATTCTCCATTCGATTATGTAAAAACACTCTTCTTACAATTTAAAAGTTGGTAAGATTTAAATACAAAGATTCATTTATGTTACTGAACTGTATTCTATATTCATTAAATCTAAAAAAACTCACTGATTGTACTAATAAATTGCACCTCCATTTAGTTACACACAATTAAAATCAAAATTATATAAAAATTTATCGATTAAATCTGTATCTTTGTTAGTGCTAAGTAACGTTTGAAATTATGGTAAGATGTATAGGTCAATTTAACATTTAAATACAATAAATACAAAAATAAAGTCAATTTAACAAATATACGAGTGATATATTAAGACAACTATATAATCTTTTTTAAAAACATAATGCTAATTATTAACCTAATTAAGAATCGATATATACATGGTGAAAAAATTCTATGTCTATAAATTAAGCGCATCCATAACAACTGTGTATAAGCTCTTAATTGCTTGGTTGTATTGTAATATTATATTGTAATATAATATTGTAATATATTGTAATATAATATTAATCTAAAATAGAATAACGTATAAAAATAAATATATATATGTATGAACATTGTAATCAACATTAGAATACTATACCATATGGATTTTTAGCTACGATGCCAACGTCGGTTTGCAGAGGTTCTGATTCTCCCTCTTCATTCACAGCCTTTACACGAAATTCGTACTTATGGCCAGGTTCCAAACCGGTAACTGCGTGTTCAGTTTTATCAGGGTCCACGATACCGGCTGGTACCCAACGACCTGTCGTCACATCCATTTTTTCTACTATGTAACTGGACAGGGGAAGTCCACCATCATCTTTCGGCTTGCTCCACTTCAATTTGCAGCCCTCTTTGTGCACGTCGGTCACTTCCAGTGGTCCTTCCGGCTTTCCAGGCTTGTCTACAAAATTACATAATAAGTTTTATAACATAAATACATATTATATTGTATAATACATTGTATTATATTATGCATTTAGTTTGGTAACTTAGTCTAATATAATTTGAATCTTTAAACATTCATTATTTCACTTAAAAAAATATTCTAAAAGATTTGCTTACATTATGCATTTCTTATTTCAACATGAAATAAAATATTTTATGTACATATATTATAAAATATATATAGAATTTCGTTTTATTTTTAAGTTAAAATAGAGATATGGATACAACATACCAATATATTCAAGTTTACTCACCAAGAATGTTAATTTCTACATCGGCCTCATCTTGTCCAGAATCGTTCACAGCCTTGATAGTATATTTTCCAGTTAACTTTCGACTGGTATTTATTAACTGAATCTTAGTGAGGTAATCTTCGTTATCAATTTTAATATTGGCTCCAGTTGAAAGTGGTGCACCAGCGAAACTCCATGTAACTGTTGGAGGAGGTTCACCTTCGACATCAACTTCCAACTTCACTAATTGACCTGCTCTTACTTTGATAGTCTGCAGCTTATCACGGTTGATGTGCGGTTTCACTACAAAAAATAATTTTTATATAATATTATTTTAATTATCTTAAATTATTTCGTAATAATTAATATACCAATATTTATTCATGTTTCTCACTTTATATGAAATACGATAAATTATTAAATTAGAGATTTTTTTTTTTATTTAAATCAGAATAGAAATTAAAAATAAAATTAAAATTATATAATTATAG